AAATGCCAAAAGTGGGTGGGGCATGCCATGGTCTGATAGTAAAACTTAGCTTCATGTCAAATGTGTGGTCATGCCATGGTCTGATAGAAAAACTTAGGCTAATGCCAAAAGTGGGTGGGGCATGCCATTGTCTGATAGAAAAACTTAGCCAAATGCCAAAAGTGGGTGGGGCATGCCATGGTCTGATAGAAAAACTTAGGCTAATGCCAAAAGTGGGTGGGGCATGCCATGGTCTGATAGAAAAACTTAGCCAAATGCCAAAAGTGGGTGGGGCATGCCATGGTCTGATAGATAAACTTAGGCTAATGCCAAAAGTGGGTGGGGCATGCCATGGTCTGATAGAAAAACTTAGCCAAATGCCAAAAGTGGGTGGGGCATGCCATGGTCTGATAAACTTAGCCAAATGCCAAAAGTGGGTGGGGCATGCCATGGTCTGATAGTAAAACTTAGCCTCATATCAAATGTGTGGTCATGCCATGGTCTGATAGAAAAACTTAGCCAAATGCCAAAAGTGGGTGGGGCATGCCATGGTCTGATAGAAAAACTTAGCCTCATATCAAATGTGTGGTCATGCCATGGTCTGATAGAAAAACTTAGGCTAATGCCAAAAGTGGGTGGGGCATGCCATGGTCTGATAGTAAAACTTAGCCAAATGCCAAAAGTGGGTGGGGCATGCTATTGTCTGATAGTAAAACTTAGCTTCATGTCAAATGTGTGGTTATGCCATGGTCTGATTGAAAAACTTAGGCTAATGCCAAAAGTGGGTGGGTCATGCCATGGTCTGATAGTAAAACTTAGCTTCATGTCAAATGTGTGGTCATGCCATGTCCTGATAGAAAAACTTAGCCTAATGCCAAAAGTGGGTGGGGCATGCCATGGTCTGATAGAAAAACTTAGGCTAATGCCAAAAGTGGGTGGGGCATGCCATGGTCTGATAGTAAAACTTAGCTTCATGTCAAATGTGTGGTCATGCCATGGTCTGATAGAAAAACTTAGGCTAATGCCAAAAGTGGGTGGGGCATGCCATGGTCTGATAGAAAAACTTAGGCTAATGCCAAAAGTGGGTGGGGCATGCCATGGTCTGATAGAAAAACTTAGCCAAATGCCAAAAGTGGGTGGGGCATGCCATGGTCTGATAGTAAAACTTAGCTTCATGTCAAATGTGTGGTCATGCCATGGTCTGATAGAAAAACTTAGCCAAATGCCAAAAGTGGGTGGGGCATGCCATGGTCTGATAGAAAAACTTAGCCAAATGCCAAAAGTGGGTGGGGCATGCCATGGTCTGATAGAAAAACTTAGGCTAATGCCAAAAGTGGGTGGGGCATGCCATGGTCTGATAGAAAAACTTAGCCTAATGCCAAAAGTGGGTGGGGCATGCCATGGTCTGATAGAAAAACTTAGCCTAATGCCAAAAGTGGGTGGGGCATGCCATGGTCTGATAGTAAAACTTAGCTTCATGTCAAATGTGTGGTCATGCCATGGTCTGATAGAAAAACTTAGGCTAATGCCAAAAGTGGGTGGGGCATGCCATTGTCTGATAGAAAAACTTAGCCAAATGCCAAAAGTGGGTGGGGCATGCCATGGTCTGATAGAAAAACTTAGGCTAATGCCAAAAGTGGGTGGGGCATGCCATGGTCTGATAGAAAAACTTAGCCAAATGCCAAAAGTGGGTGGGGCATGCCATGGTCTGATAGATAAACTTAGGCTAATGCCAAAAGTGGGTGGGGCATGCCATGGTCTGATAGAAAAACTTAGCCAAATGCCAAAAGTGGGTGGGGCATGCCATGGTCTGATAAACTTAGCCAAATGCCAAAAGTGGGTGGGGCATGCCATGGTCTGATAGTAAAACTTAGCCTCATATCAAATGTGTGGTCATGCCATGGTCTGATAGAAAAACTTAGCCAAATGCCAAAAGTGGGTGGGGCATGCCATGGTCTGATAGAAAAACTTAGCCTCATATCAAATGTGTGGTCATGCCATGGTCTGATAGAAAAACTTAGGCTAATGCCAAAAGTGGGTGGGGCATGCCATGGTCTGATAGTAAAACTTAGCCAAATGCCAAAAGTGGGTGGGGCATGCTATTGTCTGATAGTAAAACTTAGCTTCATGTCAAATGTGTGGTTATGCCATGGTCTGATAGAAAAACTTAGGCTAATGCCAAAAGTGGGTGGGGCATGCCATGGTCTGATAGTAAAACTTAGCTTCATGTCAAATGTGTGGTCATGCCATGTCCTGATAGAAAAACTTAGCCTAATGCCAAAAGTGGGTGGGGCATGCCATGGTCTGATAGAAAAACTTAGGCTAATGCCAAAAGTGGGTGGGGCATGCCATGGTCTGATAGTAAAACTTAGCTTCATGTCAAATGTGTGGTCATGCCATGGTCTGATAGAAAAACTTAGGCAAATGCCAAAAGTGGGTGGGGCATGCCATGGTCTGATAGAAAAACTTAGGCTAATGCCAAAAGTGGGTGGGGCATGCCATGGTCTGATAGAAAAACTTAGCCAAATGCCAAAAGTGGGTGGGGCATGCCATGGTCTGATAGTAAAACTTAGCTTCATGTCAAATGTGTGGTCATGCCATGGTCTGATAGAAAAACTTAGCCAAATGCCAAAAGTGGGTGGGGCATGCCATGGTCTGATAGAAAAACTTAGCCAAATGCCAAAAGTGGGTGGGGCATGCCATGGTCTGATAGATAAACTTAGGCTTATGCCAAAAGTGGGTGGGGCATGCCATGGTCTGATAGAAAAACTTAGCCTAATGCCAAAAGTGGGTGGGGCATGCCATGGTCTGATAGATAAACTTAGGCTTATGCCAAAAGTGGGTGGGGCATGCCATGGTCTGATAGAAAAACTTAGGCTAATGCCAAAAGTGGGTGGGGCATGCCATGGTCTGATAGAAAAACTTAGCCTAATGCCAAAAGTGGGTGGGGCATGCCATGGTCTGATAGTAAAACTTAGCTTCATGTCAAATGTGTGGTCATGCCATGGTCTGATAGAAAAACTTAGGCTAATGCCAAAAGTGGGTGGGGCATGCCATGGTCTGATAGAAAAACTTAGGCTAATGCCAAAAGTGGGTGGGGCATGCCATGGTCTGATAGAAAAACTTAGCCAAATGCCAAAAGTGGGTGGGGCATGCCATGGTCTGATAGAAAAACTTAGGCTAATGCCAAAAGTGGGTGGGGCATGCCATGGTCTGATAGAAAAACTTAGCCAAATGCCAAAAGTGGGTGGGGCATGCCATGGTCTGATAGATAAACTTAGGCTAATGCCAAAAGTGGGTGGGGCATGCCATGGTCTGATAGAAAAACTTAGCCAAATGCCAAAAGTGGGTGGGGCATGCCATGGTCTGATAAACTTAGCCAAATGCCAAAAGTGGGTGGGGCATGCCATGGTCTGATAGATAAACTTAGCCAAATGCCAAAAGTGGGTGGGGCATGCCATGGTCTGATAGTAAAACTTAGCTTCATGTCAAATGTGTGGTCATGCCATGGTCTGATAGAAAAACTTAGCCAAAATGCCAAAAGTGGGTGGGGCATGCCATGGTCTGATAGAAAAACTTAGGCTAATGCCAAAAGTGGGTGGGGCATGCCATGGTCTGATAGAAAAACTTAGGCTAATGCCAAAAGTGGGTGGGGCATGCCATGGTCTGATAGAAAAACTTAGGCTAATGCCAAAAGTGGGTGGGGCATGCCATGGTCTGATAGATAAACTTAGCCAAATGCCAAAAGTGGGTGGGGCATGCCATGGTCTGATAGTAAAACTTAGCTTCATGTCAAATGTGTGGTCATGCCATGGTCTGATAGAAAAACTTAGGCTAATGCCAAAAGTGGGTGGGGCATGCCATGGTCTGATAGAAAAACTTAGCCAAATGCCAAAAGTGGGTGGGGCATGCCATGGTCTGATAGTAAAACTTAGCCTCATATCAAATGTGTGGTCATGCCATGGTCTGATAGAAAAACTTAGCCAAATGCCAAAAGTGGGTGGGGCATGCCATGGTCTGATAGAAAAACTTAGCCTCATATCAAATGTGTGGTCATGCCATGGTCTGATAGAAAAACTTAGGCTAATGCCTAAAGTGGGTGGGGCATGCCATGGTCTGATAGTAAAACTTAGCCAAATGCCAAAAGTGGGTGGGGCATGCTATTGTCTGATAGAAAAACATAGCTTCATGTTAAAATGGGTGGGGTGTTCCATGGTCTTATAGAAAAACTTAGCTTCATGTTAAAATGGGTGGGGTGTTCCATGGTCTTAATTTGTGACTAATAGTAAAATTTGCCTGTCTTACAAGATTAATGTCAACAAAAGTAAAAAGTATAGGTAAAAAAAATATATATGAAGGGTTACATTAATTTAAAAGTAAAATTCTTGGTTAAATAAATTAAGCATAAAATATACATTTTTGTGTACACAATAGTTACTTGTTATCAAGTCAACAAATCAGCAATAACATACAGATAAAAATAGGCCTACAAACAATTCCATCTATTCAAGAAATTACCAATAATATATTAAAACATGTACACCCAATAGTTTTACTGCATCAGGTAAAGAAAATACCAATAAATAAAATATATACATGTTTGTATGTACAATTGTTAAATTACATCAATTAAAGCTTTTACATCAGCTTTTAAAAATTTCCAATAAAAAATACTGATGCTTTTTTGAGGCTTCAAGCCATGTTGCTGTGGTCATGTCATTACTGTAGCTCCTCTACAACTTAGTATTTTCCACTAAAGCCACTGCTGTTGTTATCTAGTCAACAAATTAGCAATAACATACATATAAACGTAGGCCTAAAAACAATTCCATCTATTAAAGAAAATACCAATAATATTTTAATACATGTACACCCAATATTTTTACTGCATCAGGTAAAGAAAATACCAATAAATAAAATATATACATGTTTGTATGTACAATTGTTAAATTACATCAATTAAAGCTTTTACATCAGCTTTAAAAATTTCCAATAAAAAATACTGATGCTTTTTTTGAGGCTTCAAGCCATGTTGCTGTGGTCAGGTCATCACTGTAGCTCCTCTACAACTTAGTATTTTCCACTAAAGCCACTTCTGTTGTGAGGTTCTCCTGTGACTTCTGTACACACATTTTTTCACTCTGAAGATGGGCACAGTTCTCATACTTATGCATGTTGGCATGCTGCTCAGCATCAGGGTGTGGCTCTACCACTTTTGTCTCAGATACATCTGGGATAAAAAAAATAATCAAATGTATTGTAATAGTCCAATTTGATCATTTTAGTAAATCTTATGTTATATAACTCAATTCCAAATACAATTCCAATTATACACTACTATTTAAATTACTATAAAGAAAAGCGTGGGTCACTTTAGTATCTATTGGATACCTGTACTAATATTTAGGAAGAGACCCACGCTCTTCTTTATAGTCTTTTAAATAGTAGTGTATAATTTTTTTTCTACTTTTTAGTGCATTATTACATAAAAGCTTGTTATTAAAACGTTTTTTAAGAAATTTTTCTTTATAAAACTCCAAAGTACCAAGGAAAGTGTATATATATATATATATATATATATATATATATATATATATATATATATATATATATATATATATATATATATATATATATATATATATATATATATATATATGTATATATATATATATATATATGTATATATATATATATATATATATATATATATATATATATATATATATATATATATATATATATATATATATATATATATATATATATATATATATATATATATATATATATATACACATACATATATATACATACATATATATGTATATGTATGCCCTATTATAAATATAGGCATATATTTATAATAGAAAATTTACTAGCCTACTCACCAAACATGTTTTGTGAAGTTGAATAGTTTGTTGATTCAGTCTTATCATTCTAGAAATGATACATGCAACACGTCATATTTAGCCTTAACTAAATAAACATGGTCAAAGTACATAGTCTCAGTACATAGTCTCAGTAGATGGTCTCAGTAGATGGTCTTAGTAGATGGTCTCAGTAGATGGTCTCAGTAAATAGTCTCAGTAGATGGTCTCAGTACAAAGTCTCCGTAGATGGTCTCAGTAGATGGTCTCAGTACATAGTCTCAGTAGATGGTCTCAGTAGATGGTCTCAGTAGATGGTCTCAGTAGATGGTCTCATTAGATGGTCTCAGTAGATGGTCTCAGTACATAGTTATAAAAACCAGTGATGATTGACTCACTAATGACCAACCCAACAATGACCAACCCAGAAATGACCAACTGGGCCAGACATACTTAGTGATGTGACAACTGGTTTACAAATGACTCTGTGAAAGTTTACCTCGGCAAATTAAGCATATTTTCTAAACAGTGATTTTTTTTAATTGAAAAAGGTTGATCCTGAATCAGTTTATCTTCCCATCTATTGGCTACATTATTATTAAATTTCAAATAGCCAATTTTTTTACTTACAATTACTGCTGCTATTGTAAGAATTCAATTATCAATTTGCAAAGCTACAATGTATGGAATAGTTTTCCTTTTTAACATAAAAAGCTAAATCAAATTTTATTTTAAAAAATAATTAAATTATTCAAACATAAAAAAAATTCTATTTTAATAATAAATTATAGATATTTTCTGCTAATGAACATCTCAATGATTTATCAAAAGATTCAAGCAGATTGTAATTAAAATCTTAACCACTTTAAACATCATTTAATCAATCTAAGTGTGTCTATCAAACAGGAAATGTGTTTTGGATTGCCCAGTTGGTATTTGCAAAATTTATGAGAGCACAATTGGTCTCAATCAGCTGGCAATCACTGATTTTTCAATCACCAAGTTGTAATACACCCTCTCAGAAGCCAATATGATCCTAGTACATTTTAAGTAAATAATTGTCAAGAAAAAATTCAAATTATTTTTTACACAAACTATAAAATAAAGAAACAAAAAAAAGATGTTTACATTTTGAGTTAATCCTTTTTGATTTGTCAACCTCACTTCTCCAGGAAATCGTTTCCGTATCCATAATTTCAGTGCATCCCTTACCTTAAGAAATGAAATACAAAAGCAACATTACATTTTACGAACATTGTGATTAAAAAATAATTTCTTTTCTTTAGCAAAACAAAATAAACATACACTCATTTATTTATGTCACAACTTTAATTGATTAGAAAACTAAATCATCAGTATCTATTTTAGTTAACCTTCTTTCAAATAATTTCCAGGTTATACTAAAAAACAAATTTATAATAAGCTTCAAACATTTTTAAAAAAAAAATTAGTTGTTTCATTTGGTTAGGGTTTACAGACATAACATTTTATCACTCTCAATCTATGCAAACTGGAAAAGGATTGAGAGTTCAGCATTTTTCTGACCCATGTTACCAGTCACTAGAAACATGGGTTTCCACAATGCATTGCACTAGTTAGTTAAGATATAAGGGGCAGTTAATTCAAGGGATGGGATGGAGTGGCCTAGCGGTAGAGGGCAAGACTGCTAATCCAAAAGTTTGAAGCCAGGTTCATGTCAGTAGAAAGCCCCTGTGTGCACCCAGCTCTGATGGGTACCTAACTCGTGTTGGTGAAAGTAAAGACGGCTGGGCATAGTGCTGACTACCAGGGCCGGCGCTACATATAAGCCAAACTAGGCGGTTGCCTAAGTCGCTGTCTGTAAGGGGGGCGCCAAAGTGGGTTGGAAAAACAAGTCGAAAGTTTGATGGGGCTGCAAATTGAAAGTTTGTCCCCGGGCGCCGGGTAGGGTTGCTACGCCTCTGATAATGGGGGGGAGGAGGGGCACGAAAAAATTGCGGGAAGGGGGGTGCTTTTAATAAGTTTTGACTAGGGCGCTAAATAACCTGGCGCCAGCACTGCTGACCACAATATCTCTTCATATGCCAAGGTCACAGAAACTGGTAAACTCTACTTCACTTGTCATCAGAGTTGAAAAGGGAACTCTATTTAATGGACAACCTACAGTTCTGAGCCCAGGTTCCAAACTTGTTAATGCTGGGTTAGCAAGCATATGTTCTACCACCAGACATGACCATTCTCATAAACATTGAAACTATTTCTATAAATATCTCATAGTACAAAGTAAAACTACCTGGCATTGAAACACACAATGAAGAAGGAAGATGAGCAGTCCCTGAAATTAAAATTAGTTTTCAGAGGCAAATAGCAATAGCATCACAAGTACTAGAAATCTACTGTTAAAGTTGAATGCTTTTATTTCTGTAGCTGTACAATTTAAAATTTGGAGGAAAACTAGATTCCTACTTGGCTGGCGTTGATTATGGCAAAAATATACTGTAAAACTATTGTCTGCTCATTCACAGAAAAAACTCCTATCAGCCATGTTATTCCCAATATAGGAGACAGCACACCAATGGAATGTAGAGCGGATCTATAATAAAAAAACAATACAGAACTTTTTCCGACCACTTGGACTTCTAGTTTTCTTTACCAGTAGGGCTAAAAAATTATATTTTTGTAATTAATTTGTATTAGCTTGTTTAAAAAATCACTGTTAATGCGTAATAGGTCTAATATAGAGTATACCAAATAAATATTAAATAAAACTCACAATTGTAAAATTTGTATTTTACATTACAATTTAAATTTCCATAAACAAAGAAATAGACTGTACTAGTTTATTTTCTATGAATGGATAGTTTCCATTGTAAATATTTACTTAATTTTCAGCTGGATAGACTGGGCTCTTATCATCTGAGACCTTTGCATGGTTACCACCACAACCACAATGATTACACCATTTATCTGTACAGGCAAAGAAAACACAGGTAGATAATTTTATACAGTATATGCATTACACAGCCATAAAGGTAAGCAACCGTTAATCACTTTAGTATGAAGACATGATAGGAATTTAAGATTAACATGGACTTACTGAATTGACAAAGATAACTGGCCCAGCAAAGGCCCAAAACAGTCCATCTTTCACTGACAGCCAGCAGCTAGTAGGGAGGAAAAAAATGTGTCATTTATTTTAAACAGTTGGTATCTAATTTAGATGACCAGTAGTGTTATGAATTATCTCAGTGGAAACCAAGGGTACGAGAGTACGTGTGTTGTAGAATGATTTATATTAATAAAAGATTGTGACTGCGTGATGAGGTACATAAGGAATGTGACGTTTGAGAGTAGGATCTTGTTGTTGGTGAAATAGGTGAGATCAGTCTTTGTCAGCTTGTGCTAGGGCATAGAGGAATTTGTCAGCGTGTGCTAGGGTGTAGAGGTATTTGTCAGCAATCGTATACATTGTGAAAGGTGTTGTCTGTGTCTATTAAGTATTTAGCCAGTGCAATACACCATGGATTGAAACTATCCAGTACTGTTCAGCCATTTGTATCAGATCATCACTGTTGATAAATCCATGTCCAGATCTGGCATCACAACAGGTAGTGCCAGTAGTTTTAGACCTGGCATCATGTCCTAACCTGGCATCACAACAGGTAGTGCCAGTAGTTTTAGACCTGGCATCACAACAGGTAGTGCCAGTAGTTTTAGACCTGGCATCATGTCCTAACCTGGCATCACAACAGGTAGTGCCAGCCAGTAGTTTTAGACCTGGCATCACAACAGGTAGTGCCAGTAGTTTTAGACCTGGCATCACAACAGGTAGTGCCAGTAGTTTTAGACCTGGCATCACAACAGGTAGTGCCAGTAGTTTTAGACCTGGCATCATGTCCTAACCTGGCATCACAACAGGTAGTGCCAGTAGTTTTAGACCTGGCATCACAACAGGTAGTGCCAGTAGTTTTAGACCTGGCATCACAACAGGTAGTGCCAGTAGTTTTAGACCTGGCATCACAACAGGTAGTGCCAGTAGTTTTAGACCTGGCATCATGTCCTAACCTGGCATCACAACAGGTAGTGCCAGTAGTTTTAGACCTGGCATCACAACAGGTAGTGCCAGTAGTTTTAGACCTGGCATCACAACAGGTAGTGCCAGTAGTTTTAGACCTGGCATCTCTAGAGTAGATAAAGAAGAGTCGCCCCTCCTCATTCAATTTACCACAAGGAAAGCATTGTCGATGTACCTACTAAGTGTCATACTTAGGATGGCCTTACCTGTCTTGCCTACCATATCCCTCTGTTTTTGTTACTCCCAGGGAGATACCAACAATGATCACAGGTATACCTTGAAAGTTTTCAAATATTTTAACTGAGTTTTATTAACAGAGTGATTTTCATCAAAAAACTTAAAAAATTTTCAGCACAAAAGCGTGGGTCACTCATACATTTTTTTTTAAAAAAGTATCCCGATTTAGTTGCATATTAATTTTTATTATTCTGCTTTTAGAAGTATTTGAGTATATGTGAATGTATATATGATTAAACTAAATTAATTGGTACATAGCATATATAATTGTTTGTAGGATACCAATTTTAATACACAATATTGTGACCCACACTTTTCTTTACAATTGTATATAGAGTGGTGTATTATTGTGTTTTATCTACTTTTTATTGCATATGTAGTAAAACATAGTTTGTTTTAGGCATCTCTTCAATGGTACTGCCCCAGAAGAACATTCACACACCTCCCGTGAACAAAATAGAAAATATATAATTTTATAAGTGTTAAATTCCTAAACCCCACCCCCCCCCCCCTCTACTGAGAAAATGTCTAGGGGAAAAACACTGATGTAAAAAACATTTATTTATAAATGTTTTTTTCTATTTCCAAGAAATTGTTAAAAATATTCAAATTTACATTTGAAATTGTTTTAATAGTGCTTGTCCGAAAATATTTCAACATCAAAAGTTATTCTGTTTCGCTGGACTTTTGAATATGAAGAGATAATGTGTTTAGTGTGACTACTAAGCCCAGTGACCTTTCCCTGACTCTGGTGACCTGTCAGAGCTGGGTAGACTGAGGGACATAATACTATCTGATTTAGCTTGATCGTTGCACTGGCTCTTTAGTCTAACAGTACCTTGGAAATACAGGTGCAAAGACTGGACAGGAAGTTGAGAGCCAAATGTTGCCCATGTATTAGCCCCCTCTGTCCCTAGCTAACGAGCTTCATCTACCCAAAGGTTTGAACTTGAAACTTTTCACTCTCCTGATCACACTTATCTTTGATCAAATAGTAATAATATGGCTCTGTAGTCTTAATAGACTACGGGATGATTGCTCATTGGAAAACCAGAGCACAAAGCCCAAGTTGAGAAGAGCTAGATATTGCCCACGTATCAGACCCCCTCTCTCAAACAGCTGATGGAACCAAGGGACAGGAAGTTATGAAAATCTTACCATATGATATTAGAAGCAGATACCGTAGAAATGACTTTGTGGTCCTGGTAAAGACAAAGACAACCATTCTCACAATGTTGATGCCCTCAGCGAGCATTATGAAAACAGCAGACAAGAAGAAAAAGTGAAGGCAGGCAGCCACAACTGTGCACATCACCTGGTAGGTTCAGGGACAAAAATATAATATTAATCTCAACCTTAGATTAGTCTAACAAAATGCAAAAGTTTTCCTGGATATCATTGTGTAACTACAGGCAACACTTGATCTTTGCTACCCACCATTTGATGGAATATAAACACAGCATGCCTGGTTGTACCGCTAATCAAGTTAATTAAAAATAAATGATTGGCTGAACTTTGGTCAATTTAGACTGACCAAGTGAAATGTTGCTACCAATAAATGTTGATATCATATTACTCAATAATTGCTATTTTAAAAATACATGTGGGCTTAATGTTAATTTTGTCAGAATATTTTGGTCAGAATGTTTTTGTCACAATATTTTGTCACAAAATTAAAAAAAAAAGCTTGACTAAGAATTTACCGCCCTTACATCATTAGTTCTGTCAAACCCAGCTATGAAAATAATGTAGCCAATTAGAAGACAAGCAGATAAGTTGACATGCAGGACAGATCTTTCGTCTTTCACTTGCCTGCAAGAACATGAAAAACTTATAAACATTAAAAACTGTTCTTTTCTTTTTATGCCGAAATTAGTCCTAACGCAGTTTATTTTAACTCATGGTTTGGTTACTGTTTTAGAGGATATCTTGTCAAACCTACCTCCAAACAAGGCTGTACACTATCAGGTTCAAGACCAAACTTAGTATTGAAATAGAACATCCAGAAATGGAAATGATATCCAAAGCAAATATTTCCTCTCCCTGGAAAATATTAACAAAAGCTGCTCGTTACTAGTTTTCTTCTCGGGTTGGAAAAGTACTTTTACAGTAGGATGGATTGATGCTCACATTAGGCCTAACTCTTAAAATAATATCAGTATTATATTAGCCTTCTGATTATCTGAGTCTGAACTGCTACGCTTATTTTTAACACTGCGATCAATACAAAAAACTTTGTGCTCTTTACCACAAAAAATAAGCCACTTGCATTTATTGGATGAAGATAATTAATTATCGAGTCTTTTAATTGCACATTGCACTTTACAAAAAAGTTACAATTTCACTAGTTGAAGTCTCAGTAGCTAAAGTTGAAATTTGAGTCGCTAATGTTTTAAATTTGAGAACCTAAGGTTGAAATTTGAGAACCTAAAGTTGAAATTTGAGAACCTTAAAAGTTGAAATTTAAGTAGCAGAAAAGTTTCAAACTTACAGGTACAAAAGGGCTCATCAGTAAGCCAAAATTCGTAAGGTGATCACAGCTACAGGTTGTATGAGTGGTG